CCCATATAGTACCCATATTACATGTTTTAACATGGTCATATAAGTCCCATGCAAGCCCCATATTACATTTATTGCACCCCACATGAGTCCCATATAGTATCCATATTACATTTTTTAGCATGGCTATATAGGTTTCTATGCAAGCCCCATATAACACCCATATTATTTTAAATGACTTACCCATGACCCCACACAAACCCCATTTAGTACCCATATGGTTGAGCCCATATGGATCCCATATGAATGTTGGGTGCAAAAATGTTGGGGCCCCATATAGGCTCCCCATAATGGCCCCATATTACATGACACATGGTACCCATCAGTGAATGTTATCAGGGTAATGTTAGTTAGAGAGTTGGGTATTCTTTCTAGTGCAGGAAGTGGTGCTTTGTTTCTATCTATGTTAGATTGGCTTATAAAGAAATCGTTAAGGCAGTTACATTTGTCGGATGGTGTGTGATATGTAGTGCCGTTTACTGATAGAGGGGGTAGTTCATTGCTAGTGCCAGCACGATTTTTTTTCATAAATGACTTGACATTGCCCCACCAGTTTTTACTTTCAAAGTCAATTGACTACAAAAAAGTTACTGACCTATAACTCCCTTATTTACACTGACCCCAAACTGTACTGTACATAGCTTAACATATAATAAACCAATTCCCATTGAAATAAAGGTGAAACCTTACCGTATAATTATATGATTTGATTAAAGGAGCTATATCGCTAATATTTGGGACTTAGAAAATGACACAAATGGGCCGCAACGCATAAGATAATGTAATATGAATGTATATAAACTGATTTACATTCAATCATTTCTGTTTTTGCTCTGATTTCAAATCAGTTATGTTCGGCTTAATACACTAGAAGTCTCAATCAAATGGCAATCTCAAGCGTCTAGTTATTCCAGTCTACACCGATAGTATTTATTGCGCATGCTCTCCGGATAAGAATATGTTGTCACCGTATGATATGACTTGTGGAATATGTCTAGCCTCGTTCTTTGAGTCCCTTGTTACAAATAGCGCTGAAACGCATTATGGTACACGATTCGTGTACCAATGGTAAAATGTTTATTTTGTCTTAAATATTGGATATCAGAAGCCCATCTTTTCCCGGTAAGATCACAACATCAATGTTGATTTAAATTGACAAATAATTTGTGTGTTCAATGTCGAAGACTTTGGATGATATTGAGTTTAGATATTTAGGAGAGTTGGCACATGTACAAAACTGGATACCTTAATCGTTAATAATTAAATAATGCTGTACGGTACAATTAATGCCAGTCTTAAACATTAAGTGGGAGAATTTGCACAGCATAATATCATTATTTTTTCATAATCTGGTATTCTATTTTTCAACAGATTAGTACTATTAAAAGAGAAAAACAGGGTTTAATGTCCATTCGACAAAAACTAGGTCATTTCGAGATTACCATATGCTTCAAATTTATTTCCTTAATTCCTTAACATTGGAAGGTAACCAGGGAAAACCCCATGAGGACAGAGATTTCTGTTTTGATTAACAGTTGTCATAGTTATTGAGAACAAAATGTTCAATCTGGTCTCAGTTTTGGGTGAGTATTGATTCACTCTTAAAAAAACAATTTGCACTGTCGGATAGAGTGGGCTGGATATACCATATGCAAGTGGATTTGTTGGCAATTTTCCTGTCTAAAAGCTTGTGCAGTCTTTTGGAAACATTAACTATCGACCGTGTAATAGCAAAAGTTGTCAGTTCACAATTTTTTACAGTTTCTATATATAATGGTTGTTTTTTTTCCAGGTGAGTACATATAGCAAACAGTTGATATGCACATGCACAATATCAGGCTAATAAGGGTAAGTATTTTACATATAATATGAACTATATTGATATTTAATAACTGATAAAACAAATATATGCTTATTAGCTTCCATGGAATTGGGTAATTTTGAAGTTACTACTTATCTGGTTTTTGATCAGTTACATTTGACTTACAATATGTATTATTATAATAGTAACCTTGTAAGTACCTAAATAATAATAATAATGCTTTATTACACAACTACATGGTATATTCACGAGTATGTAAAGCAAGCAATACAAAGTACGTTAATAAACATCAAAGAACATAGAATAAGGTTTACAGATGTTTCTAAAAGTATATTAAATTATTTAATAATGCTTGTAAGGTATATATTAGGCCTTACATAGCAAATGGTATTTAATGTCTATTTTTAAACATTTCATATACGAACGTTGCAACATCTTCTACACATTTATCAGCGTTCATCATATGCATTATTGAATAATTCAAACTAGTTTTAATGTCATGACTTAAAAACTTTTTCCAAAGATTATTGTGGGTGGAGCAATGAAGAAGAACGTACGTTTTTACAGGTCCTCTTATCCCTGTGGACAAAAGTTTTTTTTATGCCTGCCTTTTGTGTTATTGAGGGGGGTGGGTGGGGGCATGTTTATTGTTACAGGAAATACTATTAATATACAAATGTTTCTAGGTTACACTATATTTCAGTGGATGAACAGTTTGTCTGAAGTTGAAGAGATCTGGTTAGATTGAAATTAGTTCTTCGCCCGTTGGTTTATAACCAGGCTTGTCAGTTTGTGAGTCGGTTCATAAAAAAACAGTACTGTTTTCACGTATACATATTTTACTGTCTCTGGTCCAACAAGCAGCAATAAAACCCTGTCTGTATGACCATCCTGTTATACTCGCTACATGCGCTCTATATCTGGTAAGGTCTACATTAATGTATCCGCCTTTTATAGCTATCTCAGTCATTTTCCTGTTCATCATGATATGGACTTTTGTTTTGCAACTTTTGAATCTAACAATTATCTAATGATGCTTGTTATCTTCTTTCCCACCAAGACGATGACAGTTTTCAATATTGTTAGAACCTAGGGAGTTGTCAATAGTGGTATTTCTTCTTATATTCCGCTAACGTGAATGCAGTTTCTTACGACTGTATTGTTCTAGCTCATCACACATATCGTGCACAGTTGCATTTAGATGGAGAGAGGTTGAAGCTAACTGTAATTTTAAAGATTCAATTTCATTTTGAAGAGGAGCGACTTGAATTTTTAACCCCAGCTTGGTCGATGGTTTCTATGAAAGGTTTAATAGCGTCCTAAACTTGCCTGCAATGAAAGGATAGAGCAATTGGATGGGCAAGTGCCTCCACAGTTTTGTCAAAGATTGAACCTTCCGGTTCAGAGTGAGTGTTTATAGAGGGTATAGGTGGACTTTTTGCAATATTTTGTTCCATTATTGAAGTTGATATGATGGGTTCTATAAGCCTAGTCTGTTTTTTGTCAACAGCGCCAAGAAAGTTAATAAAATCAGAGTTGGTTTGGTCAGTTTGTGACGACATGTCAGACAAAGTGTCATCATCATATTCGTGTTCCGCTGTAGGCCTATATGATGTCATCACCATTCCCAGATTGGGTAAAGATTGATTTTATATTAGATTGTTGTAATATCTCTCGTTGTATATCTATTGGCGAGACAGTGTTCGTTCTTTTCCTGCTTGGTATCGGTGTTGCAGTCGACGCCATTGGAAATGTAAACATACCAAAGGATAATAAATATGATCGAAAAACTCACTCTTCTTGTTGTTTTTTTCTGATTATTAGTTGAATCGTTTATGGTATAAATCATTCACATAACACTATGAAACCGATTTTTTACTTTCATGTAGATTTACTTTCATGTAGATGCAGAGAAATTCACAGTGTCTTATCGTGACGCCATCTTATCTACTAAGGATTATAATCAACATTAGCTGCTGATGCTTGTCACACAACACTGAATATATGGAAGGGTGTCGCTGCCAATATTAAATGCTCTACTAAAATGACTTTTTGATTGATAATATGTAAAAAGTGCAATGTACAAAATCCTAATAACAGTAATGATCAAGTCAAAATATCCCTAAGGTCAAAGTTAAATGTAAAAAGTCAAATAGAATGTGTCAAATGACAAAGGTTTTATTGGAAAATGCTCTTTTTTTTACGTGTCTCATTTCTCTCATTACATTTTACTTTTGCACTCTGCTACATTTCAGAACACCCGACGTCCAGGCTAGCGAGACAGCATCTTACCCACTTAGCCACCGGTGTTCTATAGGACTTTGTACTTTCTACATTATAATCAATCTAAAAGACATTTTTAACAGAGCATTTAATACTGGCAGTGATACCCTTCCATGTTTTTATCGTCTTTGAGTGATCATTATTTTTATAGGTTTGCCACATTAATTTTACCTCGGAATACCGTACCGGTAGCCAATTACTGCTTCTTATTCAAGGACACACTGACGTTGACACCCAGTCCGAGTGGGAGGAAGTGCGCAACAATGTGGTTACACATTATGCTTACTAACGGTTGTCTAATCCGAATTAACCTGAAATAAACAGGTTCGGTTTTCTAGATAAGTAAGACCTCTGTGGTGGAACACATGCTTAAATAAGCGCACGCTCATGATAACTGCAGCGGTTGTCAAGTATTGGTAGTTTGTCATTCTTTCATTTGATTAACAAGATTTTGGATTCCAAAATATGTGTAATTTAATAGAGTAATCTAATCTAGACTAGTATAAGCCTGGTCGGTGTCAATTTCAATTCCTGTCAAAGTCTGTCAGCCATGATGGCAATACTCACTTGCTTGGAAGGAAATAGTCTGAAAAATGAAAAAGTTGCACCAAATGTTACATAATACTGGAGTCATACCTACACAGACGACAGCGTAGTGGACACTTATGGCTGGCCCCAAGATCCATTCACTTTATTTGATATTTGCGTTTGTTGTTTATTTGAAATGTCCGTGTATATTGTGTGTCTTGTCTGCTGGTTTGCCATATGTAATTGTTTATTCGTAGTGTGGTCCTCCTTCACTTACTATCAGACTAGCAAATTTCCAAATTGTCCACAAAATGACAAAACAGAATTAGATAGAAATATGTGAAAAAAGACATGTTTTATGTTAACTTACCCACACAACTATTCCAGTTGCTACAGCAACAATAACAACACAAGCCACAACTATAACTACTATCAGGTTTCTGTCAAGAGGAAGTTCGGTCTCCGGTGCAGGTTCAGGAGGCTTCTCTCCTCCTGTCTGAGCTTCAAATACTCTTCTAGATTCAAAATACTGGTCATCTGCTACCCATTCCTCACCATTCCAATCCAAAACAGCTTCACGGTTCTTAATCTACGTGACATAGAGAATATAATCAGTTTTTTGATATTTTTTTCAGATCTAAACATACATTGATTTTTATACGAAAATAATCAAAGTAAACTAATTTGGAGTGCTCAAGTTTAGATTTGTCATTTTTTTTTAAACGTGTACTGCAGTGTAATTTATGAAAGCGTCCAAGATGGTTAACATATTTCGGCACGGGTTGGTACCAATTAGTTTAATTATATGACAATTAAGATTTGGATTAAAATGTCTCAGTAATCGGAAGTGGGAGGCAACTGGTATGTGTCTCTCTTTTGTGAACTGAGGTAAGATAGTTGTCCATTAAATAATCTGGACGAGTAGGCCGGTCATCCTTCGGTTCATGTGTCTTTGTTGAATAAATACCTCCTTTCAACAAGTTCGGATCTGGACCAGTTTAAAATTAACAATTTAAGTCCAGAAAAAGAGAATTAACATGCTGGCTGTACTAAGCATTACCAATGTTATAAATATGGTAGATGCGTTGTTAACAAGGGGTCTTTCTGGTCTAGTATTGTTATATAGATTATAACTTGTGACTGGATTATCATATTTTAGAGTACATTGGCTAATGCTGCATTATTTGTAATTGTGTGACTGAGAATTGTTTTAGTCTTACAAAGGTAGATGTTTTTTCTCATAAATTTACCAAGTAATGAAGTCTCGACTTAGCCTAAGCAGAAAATGTTCATCACCGAACTTAGTCAAGCTATTGATTTAATGAAACTATACACAAAGTGTTACCACTCCTCACTCAATTAGAATCAAAGTTATAAGGCTCCAAAATCTCGACCAATAAAATTGCTCATCACTCTGCTTACCCTGAGCAGAAAAATGCTCATTATTGAACTTCGTCAAGGTATTGATGTAATGAAACGCTCACCAAGTTTGACCACTCTCACCGTATTAGAACCAAAGTTATCATATCCCAAAGTATTAACCAATCAAATTGCTTATCTCTGCTTATACCCTACACAGAAAATCCTCATCTTCGAACTCCATCAATGTTTGAACATTTTACCTCATTTTAAAGGAGAGTTATTGTGTCCCAAAAAGTGTGATGGACAGATGGACAGACAGACCCAATTTAATAGTCCCCTGCTTTCTTTGAAAGGCGGGGGACAATTAACAAAATATAGATTACTAATACTAATGTATGATAGTTAATGGACTATTCTCATTTTGATATGTTCTAATTTAAAACACTTTTAGAGAAAATGAATATGCCGCATGTGTTGTGGATGTTTCGTTACGAAGAAAGTGAATTGCGAGAGATGAATACAGATAAAACATATATGATGGGGCTATAGCAATCATTTGTCTTTAAAAATCTTGTCCAATTTGACAAAAAAATACTACTACAGGATCACTCTAAATATTTTTCCTCCATTTTCTAAATGACCCATAACATAAAAAATACAAATGTTGATGACCTATGTATATGATTATTACTTGAAACCCTTTTGTTTCGTAAAAGCCGACATAATTAATTATTTATTTTGGTTTCTTGGTGTTCAAATATTATGAACAAACTGTTTAACTTTGGTTATTATAAACTTACCTATGCCTTTCAAATCATAACTCCCGTCGAATAAAATCCATTGCACAATTAAATACATGTATTCCAACGAATAGTAAGATAGGTTGCCAGGCAACAAAACATACGCCCACACTAGCTAAATCGTTCGAGCGGTCGACAAGGGTTGTCACATATTTATTCTTTTGTAGGTAATTAGGGGCATTTAATAGGCAATTTCATACAGATGACATTATAATTTTCATCGTTTGCGGCTTCACAAGGTTCTAAAAACTAAAATAAGGGCCATAAAAAAAGCTGTTAATAATGGGCTTTTGCGCTAGAATATCCATCAAGCAAGTAGAAAAAGCTTAATAGTGGTTACTATTCGTGAAAACTCGTGAGAAATATACGTGTTGTCAGTAGTCGCTTAAACCCGTCAGTATTCCTATAAATGGTCAGTAATAGTCATAAGGTGAGTATTTAAGTTAATTGGTTAGTATTCCTTACTTGTGTCAGTATACGTGATGCAGGACGAAGGGGCTGACAAGGAAAGCTGTCTAGTCGTTCGGATGGGACGAAAAACCGAGGTCCCGTGTACATATTGGTGTGCACGTAAAAGATCCCTTGGCAGTTGGAATTCAATATAAGAGTAGGCCGTAGTGCCGCTGTCCGGGCAAAATTTCCCTCATTGCACACTGTATGGCGTATGCCCGTCTTCATTAGCTCAGTTTAGGCGCAGAACAGTAGGACGTTAAACCCCATTTCATTTCATTTGTTTTGATTTGGTGAAATCTGGCGTAGAAATCATGTTTTTTGCTAAGTCACAATTATTTTTTACTTTTTTTTTTTTTTTTTTTTTCAAAATATCTAACATTGATGGAATACCTTTAACAAGTTGCTTGGATACTTAACTTCCTGTCCCAGAAGTGTCAGAAAATAAAAGAGCATTTTCAATAATTTAACGATTTTTGAACTGTTTTCAAAGATTGAGGCCATTTTTGGACCACCTATATTATTTCAGAAGTGTCAAATACAGTCTGAAAGCCTAATAATAATCCGAACTAGCAGCTGCCAGGCAGGATACACCCACATTTTCGAGAGATGGATAGAGAACATGCTAAAAAGAAAGTGATTTTTCCTACAATCAAGGGCCATAATTCAGGAAATTACAATTCGATATGCGCAAATATCGAAAGGAACCGAGATCTTTGTGTTATAAACTTATATTTCAAGTTTCAACAAAATCGGATAAAAATTGTGACCTCTATAGGGTCCACAACCTTGATATACCATATTTTTACGCTATTTGAGAACGAACGGCGTCCATTTTATCTGTCAATTTTGGGCCGATTTACATGAAATTCAAACTCAGTCGTCCTTAGGGTGTAACGGTGATATAATAATACGTTTTTTTAAATCGGATAAAAATTATGACCTCTATAGGGTCCACAAGCTAAAAACGCGATTTTTCGTACAATCAGGGGCCATAATTCAGGAAATTACGGTCCGATATGCGCGAATATCGAAAGGAACCGAGATCTTTGGGTTATAAACTTACATTTCAAGTTTCAACAAAATCGGATAAAAATTGTGACCCCTATAGGGTCCATAACCTTGATATACCATATTCTTACGCTATTTGGGAACGAACGGCGGCCATTTTGTCTGTCAATTTTGGGCCGATTTTCACAAAATTCAAACTCAGCCGTCCTTAGGGTGTAATGGTGATATAATAATACGCTTTTTTAAATCGGATAAAAATTATGACCTCTATAGGGTCCACAAGCTAAAAACGGGATTTTTCGTACAATCAGGGGCCATAATTCAGGAAATTACAATTCGATATGCGCAAATATCGAAAGGAACCGAGATCTTTGGGTTATAGACTTACATTTCAAGTTTCAACAAAATCGGATAAAAATTGTGACCCCTATAGGGTCCACAACCTTGATATACCATATTCTTACGCTATTTGGGAACGAACGGCGGCCATTTTGTCCGTCAATTTTGGGCCAATTTTCACGAAATTCGAACTCAGTCCTCCTTAGGGTGTAACGGTGATATAATAGAACGTTTTTTTAAATCGGATAAAAATTATGACTTCTATAGGGTCCACAAGCTAAAAACGTGATTTTTCGTACAATCAGGGGCCATAATTCAGGAAGTTACTGTCCGATATGCGCAAATATCGAAAGGAACTGAGATCTTTGGGTTATAAACTTACATTTCAAGTTTCAACAAAATCGGATAAAAATTGTGATTTTTCGTACAAACAGGGGCCATAATCCATGAAGTTTCGATTCGATACATGCCAATATCGAAAGAAGCCGAGATCTTTTCGAGATAAACCTATATTTCAAGTTTCATCAAAAGTAGAGTGTCCACAAACAAATTGTTGACGGACGGACGTCCGCACAGACAGGGGCGACGACAATATACGTCCACATGAAAATGTGGGCGTATAAAAAATTGGATTTAAGTTTTTATAATTCTCATGGTAAATGATTTGTCATTGTTTTTGTTTCGCATGTGTCCCATCCGAGTCTCTAATCAAAAATCAAAAATATTTCAAATAGGAAAGCTATAAAATTTGCAGAGATTTTACTAGAATGTAAAAGATGGTAACAAAGTTACCGAGCCAAGACTTATAGCTTATTCTTAATGTAGTATACTGTCACCCCTTTATACGAAATGATATCTCCCGAAGAGACGTAATCAATTTACACTTTGGTATTGCTTGAATTTAAAGTTGTGGCATTTCACTTCTTCAAGAGAGAACTTTTTTTATTCGTTGGGATATTCAATTGTGGAATGGATTTATTTAACGGGGGTGGGGCGGATTTCAAACACATAGTTCAGTTCATAATAATAATAGTTAACAAGCCAACAGTGAGGCTGATGTCCCCTGCCAAAATCCCAAAATAAATAGATGACACCTATTAATTAATCGCACATTTATTTTTTTCAAAAGTATCAAGCAATCAAACTATACACTAAGTTTCATCACTCTCTATCAGATAGAATCAAGATTATCTTGTCCCAAAACATCGACCAATGAAATTGATTATCTCTGCTTAGCTTCAGCTCGAAATCAATATGATTAAAACACAGATCCAATTTTGTTTCGTTTTTATAGTTCAAAATTTCGATTTTACTTGTCTTGACTACACTTGGATCTGGAAGCGTTGTTATTTAACTAGTGTTCTGCTTGAAATGAGGGGTCAGCCAATCAAATGATCTGTCGAATCGAGCGTTTGACCTTTTTTGCCTGTAACTGTGGGTAGACATTAGCGGCAATAGAAATCAAAACAAAGCAAAAGTGAATAAAAAATACATGGCGGTCGCTAATTGGTTTATCGAATGACTGATGTAATCTGGTCAAATGTTGCTTGCTTGGTACCTGACGTCATAGAACGTGAACTCCCACTATAACTTGTTAGATCTACATGTAGTGTAGGCCATCGAAAGTATAAAAAACAAAACGAAATATAGATCTATATTTTAATGAGATTGGCTCGAAATGTTAATCATTGAACTCAGTCAAGACATTCACCTAATGAACATCTACATCAAGTTTAAACATTCTACCTCAATTAAAAGCAGAGTTGTTATGTTCCAAAGTCTTGACCAATCAAATTGCTTATATCCCTTTGCCTAAGCAGAAAAATCTCACCATCGAACTTAGTCAAGGTAATGAACGCCTACACCAAGTTTGAACATTCTACCTCAATTAGAAGGAGAGTTATTGTATTCCAAAGTCTCGACCAATCAAATTGCTCATTGCTCTGCTTACCCTCAGGAGAAAATGTTCTTTACCAAACTTAGTCAAGGTATTGATGTAATAAATCTATGCACCAAGTTTCCTCACTCTCACTTAATTAGAATTATAATTATCGTGTTCCAAAGCATCAACCAATCAAATTACTTATCTCTGTTTACCCTAAGCAGAAAATTCTCATCTTCGAACTCCATCAAGGCATTCACCTAATAGACACCTACACCAAGATTGAACATTCTAGCTCAATTAGCTTGGAGAATTATTGTGTTCCAAAGTCTCAGCCAAATATCGCTTATCGCTCTGCTTACCCTGAGCAGAAAATGTTCATTATTGAACTTAGTCAAGGTATTGATGTAATAAAACTATACCCCAAGTTTCATAACTCTCACTTTAGAACTAAAGTTATCGTGTCCCAAAGCATCAACCAATCAAATTGTTTATCTCTGCTTACCCTAAGCAGAAAATGCTCATATCAAACTATATCAAGGCATTGACTTAATAAACGCCTACACCAAGTTTGAACATTCTAGCTCAATTAAAAAAAAAGAGTTATTGTGTCCCAAAAAGTGTGACGGACAGACAGACAGATGGACGGACGGACAGAGAGAGACGGACGAACCCATATAATAGTCCCCTGCTTTCTTCGAAATATTAGATAATGTAAAGGGAATTTGTTGAAAATTTCAGTCCAATTGATCCACTCTGAACCGAGAATTTAGCGATTGAATTCTGAGCTTAGCCTCGATCATCATTACTAAAGTTGGTACGATAAAAAACATAGTCTTGATTATCCATTTCTTGATTTAATCCGCGTTGAGCAGCAGATCGGATCCTAAACCAGTAAATATCGCAGGCTAGCGATGACATCAAGAGTTGATTTTGGTCTGGATAAGTTAATCAATGTCTAATAAATAATTTAGATAAGATTTCAGGCCTACAGAAAGACCTGCAATAGGCAGATTTAGCTCTTGCATAATGTATGTTTAATAGTTTATGTAACATTTAAGGCCCAAAGAAAGACCTGCAATAGGCAGATTTAGCTCTTGCATAATTCCTGTTTAATTGCACATTTATCTTTTTGAAGAGTATCGAGCAATCAAACTGATTGTCTATACTAGTCTAACCATAAATGTTCATGATCGAACTCAGTCAAGGTTTTGAAGTACCTGATAGTAAAACTATGCACTAAGTTTCATCACTCTCCATTTAGTGGCATGACAATTTCAGCTTTATTAATTTATTTGCATTTGTGTAGTTTACTCAAATTAATGACATCTCTTTACTGCTGGTGTTCATAAGACTGCATTCTTATTTTGACTACAGGGCAAACAACAATGAAAAAGATACACTGCTGTCTTGATTTAAATAAATTAGATCAAAGGAAAAAGAACATGACTGCAGCAGTGCTAGTCTTGACTAGAGCCATAGTAGATTGTTTTTACCTTATTTTCAACCAGGACTGGTATCATATTTAAAATGGGATTGGGTGCTATCGTACTATCAGCATTTTTATCTTTAAATGTTGTTTCTACCAAAACACTCCCTGCTCGAATCTACAAAACAAACAATAAAATACAATTTTATATTACTTGATCCTTGTTTATATATATATATATAAAACAAAATGGATGGGAATGGGGAAAACCCATAGAGCTCATTGAATTTGTAAAACAAAATTAGTTAAAGAATTTAGTATGCTATACAAATGCCGACAAAAGCTCAGTTTTAAAAATAGTGTCCTCAGTTATTGATCAAAGTTATTGTATAGTTTTAGGGAACTAGCCCAAATTGGGATTAATGAACAGTGATCAAACTATACATTCTTTAATATGTTGATTATAACATTCTCCAGTCTACTGTCTATTAGCAGTGAATATACATGATATAATGCTCAAGTTGTAAGATACAATGTTTCAATAGTGTTTATTATTAACATAAAAATAAATTTGTTTGTTCTGTAATACAAAGTGTATTTCCTAAATAATTCAGTGTGAATTTCAAAACAACCAAGGCTGTATTACACAAAAGGTTAAGTTTTGATGCACACCAAAACCGAACACATTCAAGATCTTTTGATTCTTAACATGTGTTAACTTCCATCTGAATCAGAAAAAAATTGTAGCCTCTGGAAGGTCTACAAACTTCATACACATTACACTATTGGCGTAAAAGTTGAGTGTTCATTTTGACGGGATGTTTTGGCTCGATTGTGACCTTTAGAAGTTTCACAAACCAAAAACGAGAATTCTCGTACAATCAGCGGCCATAATTCAGGATCCAGGAAGTTACAGCCCTATATTCACTAATATCGACAGGAACCGAGAATGTTGGGATATAAATCTATAATTCCAGTTTCATCAAAATCAAATAAAAATTGTGACATCTAGAGGGTCCACAAACTTGGCATTACATGCCCACAAGCTAAAAACATGATTTTTCAAACAATCAGGAGCCATAATCCATGAAGTTACAGTTTGATACATGCCAATATCGAAAAGAACATAGATCTGATTAAAATTCTGATCCTATTTCGTTTAGTTTTTTTATTGTTCAAAATTTCGTTTTACTTGTCTTTGCTACACTAGCATCTGGAAGAGTTTTTATATAACCCGCATTCTGGTTGAAGTGAGGGATTAGCCAATCAATGGTCTGTCGAATCTAGCGTTTGACCTTTTTTGCGCGTAACTGTGGGTAGACATTAGCGGCAATAGAAATCAAAACAAAGCAAAAGTGGATAAAAAATACATGGAGGTCGCTAATTGGCGTGCTGTAAACTGTGAGTAGGGATTCGCAGCCAAGATACGGTAAAAGTTGTATTTCCAAATACCCACTTAAAACATCAGCCGCTTTTATGATCCATGTCGCAACCTCCCACTACCAGCAGTAAAATCTTCATGTAGAGTAGGCCATCGAAAATGTAAAAATACTAAATGAAATACAGATCTATATTTTAATCAGATTGACATTTGAGTTTCACCAAATTCGGATACAAATCATGATATCTAGATGGTCCATGACCTTGATTAAATGAAATGAAATGGGGTTTAACGTCCTACTGTTCTGGTCCAACTGGGCTAATGAAGATGGGCATATGCCATACAGTGTGCTATGTGGGAATTTTTTCCAGGACAGCGGCGCTGGCAGGGGATTTTCTACGTGTACGAAATGTGTACTAGAAAAGGCACATTGTGAACCATTAGAAATTGTGTGATCAATTCATCAGGTGACAGTGTTAAATCTTCTAAAATCCATCTGTTCTGCACTAACTGGGCTTATCATGACGAGTATACAGTGTGTTTTGAGAGGAATATTGCAAGGACAGCAGCACTATGGCCTCTTATTTCGAATTCTAACTGTGAAATGCATACAGGACCTTGGTTATTTGTACCTTCTGGAAGGTGCCTCAAATGCTGTACGAATTCACAACGAATGCAGTCAGAAGGATACCGGAATGGCCGCCAAATATGGTTCGAACGTCCACGAATTCAGAGAGAGAGAGAGAGAGAGAGAGAACGAAATGGGGTTTAAGGTCCATTCCACACAAACTAGGTCATTTCTGACTAACATATGGTTCAATTTTATTTCAATAATTCACTTTTGCGTAGGGGTCTTCAGCAGTGAGAGGAAACCCGGAGAAAATCCTCAAGGTTGGTCAGACGACTCTACTCCTTGTCACATACAACCGGGGAATCGAAACCACGCCATTGACTCAATAACATACCTTATGATACAACGTGCATGCGCTAACTATTCAGCCAACAGAAACCAGCTCAAATACTTAGAATATACTTCAACTGTACTTTTCATTATTTCTTCACATTCGACTGACCTCGAAAGTTTTGGGCACGAGCAAACCATTCGGCCTGGCCACAAGAATGGGCCAGAATATTTGGAATACATTCAAATGCAGTCAGAATGTACTTCGGATATCCAGGAATATACAAAGAATTTTCATTCTGACAGCATTCCGACTCTAGTGTAACTAGGGTTTAAGGAAACCTACCTCAATGGAATCTACATATTTGCCTAAATCCATATCATTCCACATTTCCAAAACAGCTCTAAAATAAATATTAAATAAAATATTTACATACCATTACACTAGTACTGTGCTCTCACCCAAATATTCTTTTAAAATAAATTTCCATCAATATGATATTGAACCATTGTCAATATATCTCTAAAATCAAAGGAACTAATATACACATGCCGACAGTAAGAGTAAGGGTGGTGTTCCCAAACTCAATAATTACTTGCAAATTTTTGAAGTATCAAGTGCTTATCTAAATTAGTCAAGGTACTGATTTAATAAAACAATACATATGTCATTGTGTTCCAAAGCATCAACAAATCAATTTGCTTATCCCTGTTTATAGCCTCAGTGGAAAATGCTCATCATCAAACTCAGTCATAACATCTACAGCAAGTTTAGACATTATATCTCAATTAGAACTAGAGTTATTGTGTCCCAAAGTCTCAATGTTGCCTGTCTCTATTTAGCCTAAGCAGAAAATGCTCATTATCGAACTTAGTCAAGGTATTAATGTAGTGAAACTATACACCATATTTTATTACTCTCACTCAATTAGAATCAAATTAAACATGTTCCTAATTAAACTGTTTATCACACTGCTTAAATTGAACAGAAAAAGCTCATCATTGATCTTAGTGAAAAGTATGATGATGTGAAAACGGGCTCTAATTTCGTAAAAAATACGCAGAATAGTCATGATCGATCTATATTATCAGCTACTCAATAGTAGTCAAAATTTCACATTTCAACACAGAGGCCTTTTCGTCATGTCAGTCTGTATGAATCTACTACCCGCACACTGTTGCACGTGCTGTTTACCATAGCAACGCATTCGAATGTCCACACCATTGTATCTTACACTCTTCAACACACTCCCCCCTAATTGACATAAGGTCAATTACATAAATCAAAATTATTTTTTAACTAAAGAATCATAATCCAATAATACCAATTAATAATCAGTAATCAAAGTATAAATAGATATTACACTTAAAAATAAGTCAAAATATCTTAATAAAATTAAGAATCAAACATTAAAGCTCAATTTAGTCTTTCGAAAGCTCAAGTGGGTACAACTTTTATATAGGTCGGTTTAAAGTCACGAATATTCCTTGTGAATCATGAGTACGAACTGCGGCTGCACAAACTCGATTGTCTTTACCCATCATTTAAGTTTTTTCTACAACAGCCAATTCCCAATTCAGTCGAGAAACTTTATCATTGCAAACAAGTACGACATCACCTTCCGAAATTAAAGGTCCGGTCTTTAATTTAGTTCTCCATTTTTTCCAGTAATGAGAAAGAAAATTTTGCAAACATTGCTGTCGTTTCTGTCACTCAGATGCCTTGGTTTGTGGCTTGACACTATCGATGTCGCAAGACGGTGTTGATAATACTCTTCTTCCGATAATCAAATGGGAGGGTGTAAGAGGCTCTATTAGTTCATCACTAATGTACGTTAAAGGGCGTTAATTCAAAACACCTTCAATGTCAATTAATAAAGTCAACAATTCCTTGTAAGTTAAGTGAGCATTACCAGGACTTTTTGTAGATTTCACAAAACTCTCAAAGTAACCTCCCCACCATGGAGAACGCTCAACATTGTATTGCCACTTAATATTTTGATCTTGAATAAATGTAGTCACATCGACATTCTTAAAGGTCAAACTAGTATCTGAATTCATTAATACAGGCATACCTCTCCTACCGATAAAACTGGCGTCAGGTACAAGGTCCAAATGTATGGCTCAACTCGAAGCTCAAGTATGCAATGCTATCAACGCTTTATACATGTCTGGGTTTTTGGAATATACAAGGGTCCAGCATAATTAACACCAACATTCTGGAACGCAAAAGTATCACTTAATCTAAATCCAGGAAAAGGTGCTGGCTCGGGAATTCCTTCAAGTCTTTTACACATAATACATTTATTAATCACATTTCTGACTACCTGTAAACCTCGACATATCCAAAATTTCTGTCTTAATTGAACTAAAGTCTCAATAGTTCCATTATGTTTAACATCCAAATGGCATTTATCTATCAACAGCTTATTACTATAAGCATGGTATTCAGGTATAAAAACTGGATTTTTACAGTCATATGAGAGTGAAGAATTCTCAATTCGACGGCAATTTTAGTTGCTAATGAGAAAGAAGAAGCACAGTTTGGAAATGAATATGATGGGGAGCCCGCCCGTAAGAAGAAACGCACTAAGGAACTGGCAAAGGTATATAAGTGTATATATTGTTTGGGTGGCTGAGTATAAATGTATTTATTGTTTGAGGCGCCAAGTATCATGAGCGGGAATCAGTTTAGTCTGGAGGCTCAGTGCGGAGGGGTGTCCAACAAACTGGGAAAAAAACGAGACCATCCTTTTCTGGAGTAAAATTTTGCATAGAATATGATGCCGAGTGGTAATCAGTCCGCCGTTGGGGCATTTTTGAGATATTCAGGGTCAAATGAGGTCATTTGCACTGAAAGTGAATGCGCAGCCATTCTTGTATCACGAAAACATACTGAAAATGATCGAAAGTAACCATCCTTTCAATAAAAATGTTAACTTGCTAAATTCACCTTTATTCTTTGTGACCACATAGGCCAAAAGGTCAAATTGACCGTTTTTGCACTAGTAAGATTTAAAGCAATAAAATATCTGCATAAAATATAAAAACTAAAGCAAATCCTGTTCTAATTAATAAAAGGAACATTTAAAACTTATACTTTAGGTGGTCTTCGCACCGTACATTTACTTTAGAAAGTCAAAAAAGATATTGCATAACAGAACCAAAACAATTTGAAACCTGTTTCAAAAGTATGTAAATACTCTCAAATCAAAATCTCTCTGATTTAGTTTCACAACGATTCCTAGACATATTGAAACTAGTTGTGCGAAAAAACAATTGAATAGTTTCATGGCTGAACTGCAGCCTGCAGGCTGCGTCACAAAGTCTGCCAAATTTTTCCCCTGTAACATTTATCAATACAACATTTATATCCCATGAACTATTATGTGCAATGCATCCTTTGGTTTTAACTGTGTCCATGTTACGGCAAAATTCATTGCAAACCTTTAATCACGTCGTTTGATACATGTTTTCCGGTCACAGATTATCGTCGGTTTTCCCAGAAATCCCTGCAGCCTGCAGGCTGGAGTCCATGTAATACAATATCATTTGGGATCTAAATTTGAATATTGTATTCTGAATTCATATTTTATTTGTAACTCATTTTGGACATCACTGAGAAGTAGTAAGAGTGTGATTTGTACGTTTAGGGCATAGATATCTCCCGATTTGGTAAATTTCTATGAATATCGGTAAAATTCTAATTATCGCAACAAATCTAATACGAAGAGGATAAAATCTGTAGGTACGGTGTGTTAATTAACAGGGGTGAGAAATTGACTGAGTGGTGATATAATTATCGCTAGGGGTGAAAATCTCGGCGACGGTGCGTTTTCTGTACTGGTGTGTTAATTAACGAACGGGTTTAAAACGACTGACACGGTGTGTATTCTTTGTTTAGTGAGTTTTCTTGAAAGCGTGTTATAACTGCACCAAAGGTGTTTTATCAAGGACCAACAGGCTTTATCTGACGTGTAGGTTTTAAATCCAATTTACCGTGCGATTTCTTGTTCGACCGGGTGTTTTACGCAGATCGGTCTTTGTTAAGTGTAGGTCTTTATACATGGATTTATACGTGCTGTAGTTACATTTGTTCGTTCTTATACGTATTTCATTTCTTGGTGAATACTACATGTTTTATACTTCGTACCATAGTCGGGCTGCAATTATTTATATATTTGTCTTTTTTTGTGGGTTTAATTTGTTTATATATTATCGTGCGTACCACTGAAGTATAAATGCGTGTGTCTTAAAATCAGTCGCATGCAATATCGTTATTACCGATATCCCGCTAAACCTTCATTTGATTATCCGATATATTCTAATCTGTATTGATATCAGATGCTCTAATCTGTTTTGAATGCACAATTATAAACAAAAAATCGCGCAATTAATGATAGCCTGTAAGTTTCGTCGCCGTTATATTTTATAAATGTATTTCTTACCAGGGTCGTAAATAGGGATATCCAAGGAAACAGAATTCCATCACTATATAACAATCGATAAATCACATACCAAATAACACTAATCATGTCTAATAATAGGAACTCACGTCCGCCTCCAACACGTGGAGCTGATCGTCGAACATCTTCTGGTATGCTCTGATTCCATCACACTTTGTGTAACAAGCTTGTCTTTGCATACACAATTCCGACCTATGATGATCGAGACCTATGGAAATATGGGTTTTACGAGAACAGCTAAATTTAAACACATCACTTAATATTCCCATCGTTTCGATTGGATAAAGCACAGGTACAGTGGATTCAGTCTCATCCTTGTTATAGAATTTTTTACTATCCAGAGAGCACGCTTTTCACACGAAATATTGCCCTTTGATCTCAGATCGAAAGGCGACACTGTTAATGGATTTGCTGAAATAGTTGGATGGAGTGTGACTCTTTTTACCTGTTACACTTAATTCAAGGATGACATACTGTGGTCTGTTCAGTGTTGGTCTTATTGCAATGACAGAAATGTATATTTTACTTCTCTATCATCTCCTTTGAATAAAGCTTGATATTTTATCAACATGTATACAATTTATTTTGTTTCTCATAGGAAATTTCGGTTAGTATCTCAAATGAAACAAGCCAACAGTGAGGCTGATGTCCCCCGCCGAAATTGCAAAATAAATAGATGACACATATTAATTAATCGCACATTTATTTTTTTCACTAAGTTTCATCACTCTCTATCAGATAGAATCAAGATTATCTTGTCCCAAACCATCGACAAATGAAATCGATTAGCTCTGCTTAGCTTCAGCTCGAAATGTTAATTATTGAACTCAGTCAAGACATTCACCTAATGAACATCTACATATACATCAAGTTTAAACATTCACCTAATAGACACCTATGCCAAGTTTAAACATTCTACCTCAATTAGAAGGAGAGTT